GACATTCACTCTTGCCATCTCCTGTTTGACCACTTCCAATTTGCCTTGATTCATGGACCTAACATTCCAGGTTCCTATGCGATGTTGCTCTTTACAGCATCAGATCTTTCTTCTATCACCAGTCACATCCACAACTGGGTGTTGTTTTTGCTTTGGCTCCACCCCTTCATTCTTTATGAATTGTATGAATTTGTAAATATAATTATTTCCCCAGGCTCTTTAGTAAAATTTTATTCTATGTTCTAGCCATTTTTATTACTTGGAATATAAAACTTGATTTCAATTTTCTGACATTATATATATATATATATGTACATATATATATACACACACACACACACACACACACATACATTTTCACACATACATATGTACACTTGATCTTTTTAATAAACAAATCTTGATTGAGTATTGGATATGTTTCAGGAAGAGGGCCAGGTCTAGGGATGCAGTGGCAAAACCAACATAATTCTACACATTGCAAAAATTTGTAGATGCCTAAATCTAAGATGCAATACTATAAAACTCCCAGTAGATAACATAGGAGAAAATCTAGATGACCATGGTCATGACAATGACTTTTTAGATACAACTCCAAAGACACAATCCACGAAAGATAGACTTAATAAGCTGAAAATAAAAACATCTGCTCTGTGCGAGGCAATATTTGCAACAGAAACATATGACAAAGGATTGCTATCCAAAGTCTACCAAAACAAAACTCTTGGTACTCAACAATAAGAAAATGAACAACCCAACTTTAAAGTGGGTGATCTATCTGAACAGACACCTCTACCAAAGAAGATATAGAGATGACAAATAAGCATATAAAAAGAGGCTTCACATCATATGTCATCAGGGCAATGCAAATGAAAACAATGGTGATACTCCACTACACATCTATTAGAATGGCCGAAATCTGGGACACTTGTAACACCAAATGTGGTGAGGACGTGGAGCAACAGGAACTCTCATCCACTGCTGATGGGAATCCAGAATGCAACAGCTTCTCTGGGCACAACTTTGTCCATTTCTTACAAAATTAAGCACACTTTTACAACATAATACAGAAATTGTGCTCCTTGATATTTTTCCTAATTGCTTAAAAACTTATATTCACACATAAACCTGCACAAAGATGCTTATGGAAGCTTTATTGATAATTGCAAAAAGTTGGAAGCCACAAAGAGGACTTTCAATAGATGAATGGATGAATAAACTATGATACATTCAGACAATGGCATATTATTCAGCCTTGAAAAGAAATGATCAAGCTGTGAAAAGACATGGAGGAAACTTAAGTGCATATTACTAAGTGAAAGAAATCAGTGTGAAAAGTATTCCAAGTATATGACATTCAGGAACAGGCAATGGAGATGGTAAAAAGACAGTGGTTTCTAGGAGTTAGGAGGGAGGAAGGGATAAACAGGAAGAGCATAGAGGGCTTCCAGGGCCGTGAAACTCTTCTATATAATGCAATAATCATGGATTCATGTCACTATGCATTTTTCAAAACCCATAGACATACAATGTCAAGAGTTAACCATAAAGTAAACTGCAGACTTTGGGTGATAATGATGTGTCACTCTAAGCTCACTGATTATAATAAACCTACAATTCTGATGTGAGATATTGATAGTGGGGGAGGTTGTGCATATGTGGAGACAGAGGTATGAGAAAACTCTGTACTCTCTGCTCAAGTTTGCTGTGAACTTAAAAATTCTTTATTTTTTAATTTTTTTATTTTTTATTGTTTGCTGTACTGGGTCTTCATTGTGGTGCTTGGTCTTTCTCTAATTGCTGCACCAGAGTTTATTGACCTATGGCAAGAGGGATCTTAGTTCCCTGACCAGGGATCAAACCCACATCCCCAGCATTGGAAGGCAGATTCTGAAAGAGTGGACCATCAGAGAAATCCCTTAAAAATTCTTTGAAAAATAATATCAATTTAAGTGGGAAAACATTATTGATAAAACTGTGTTCATGGGAGCTATATTTGCGATAGAGAAAACCTAGAAACAACATGTATGTGTGATCAGTAAGGAGTTTGTTAAGTATATTATTAAATATGCAATTCCCTTAAACAGTGTGAAGTA